GGGACCTTCGCCCCTGCCCCTTCCCGGCGGCTCGGGGCCAGACAAGTTCATGGTGTCCCCATTGGCCCAGCTCGTGTCCCAGGGGGTCACTTAGGGGGTGGGGGGACCACGAGCTACAGGGAGAAGGGGATCCCCGGAGAGGTTGGAGGCTCGGGGCAGAGGCGGCTTGGATCTCCTCGGGCAAAGTCCCTTTCTCCTCGCAGACCTTCCCAAAGATCCCCCGTTCCCCTTCCCAAAGGTCCTGCCAATGAGTATCCCTCACGCACATCCTCCTCCCAAAGCCCATCCCGCCCCACAGACCCGCCTCCCAAAGACCATCCCTCCCCCTAAACCCTCCTCCAAAAGCCCATCCCTCCCCCCAAAGATCCTCCTAAAGACCATCCCTCCCCCAAACCCTCCTCCCAAAGACCATCCCTCCCCCCAAACCCTCCTCCCTCCCCACACACCCTCCGCCCAAAAGCCGCCCCTGCCCACAGTCCGTCTCTGCAGACCCTCCTCCTAGAGACCACGCCTCCCCGCAAACCTCCCAAAGACCATCCCTCGCCAGTGACCCCTCCCCAATCCATCCCTTCCTGCAGACCTCCCCAGAGCCCATCGATGTCGCCGCGCCTGCTCAGGGCGGTGGGCTGCGGCTGGGCGGCCGTGCTGGCCCTGCTGACCGTGGTCGTCTTCGTCCTGGTCCTACTCCCGGCAAAGGATGCTGTCCTTCCTACCAGAGTCAAAGTAGGTGTCCAGTGAGACCTGGGGGAGCCTGCGAATCCCACCAACCCCTTTCTATCTCGAATTCCTCCATCAGCCCTGCCTTCCTCTCAGCTTGCAAGTTTCCCCATGATTAGCCCAGTTTTTCAGGACTCAGCCTCATCAAGGTGGCACTGGGCAGATCAGCCTCCCCCAAACCACAGTCCTGGCTGCTTGGTAAAGGTGGGAGAGAGAAGTGCAGCGTTCTCTCCACAGCTGCTCCATCTGCCACCCCAGTCACTCTCCTCCCTGTTTTCAGACATCCAGATCACCTGTTGGGTTCTCACCTCTCTTCCCTACTGCTTTCTGCCGCTGGTCTGCTAAAAAATGCCAGGTTTTGTCAGATTTGCTAAAGGCCTGGGAGCAGCCTGAGCTTTGGGCCATGCCTGGGTGCCTCCCTGCTCTGCGACTCACCCCGCTGACCTGCGCGTCCTTTCTGGGCTGAGACTCGCTGGAGCGGCGAACCCGGGGCCGTTAGAGGTGGAGCAGGGCTGCTGAAGGGAGGGTGATGTGCAGACCTCTGCTGCCCGTGGTTCTACAGGGGAAGCAGGAGCAGAAGCTCTCAGAAACCCCCGTGGCACTTGGTGCAGCCCCAGGCCAGCTGTGAGCCCGTGTCCCCTCTCCTCCCCAGCACGGCCTGGTGTTTGACACTGGCTCCACACACACGTCCCTCTACACTTACCGGTGGCGCGCAGACAAGGAGAACGGCACGGGCATCGTGTCCCAGGTGGAGGCCTGCTCTGTGTCCGGTGAGTGCTGGG